GAGCTGGAAGATTCCTCCTGTCCGGACGTCTTTAGCAGGAACAACTTCCACAGCTGTGAACTCTCCCGCCTCATTCAGCTCCATCACCTTCACCCACAGTTCAAGCTGACGGGTCACCTCGCTCCACCTGTGAGAGACCGCACCATCAGGGCGCAGCGACAAGGACAGAAGAAAGTTAAGGAGCCTAAAAGGCTGACGCTGCATTCTATCTGGAGGCCAGCAGGTGGCGACAGTGTGGTTGCTAAAGCTCCCTGAAGTCGGTGAGATGACGACTTCCTGTTCTGACCTCTGTAAACACTTTTTCCCTTCGTATACTTTATGAATCGCTGTAGGTGGGATTCCTCTCTGCATTTAATCACTCCGTGAAGCAGCGGCGCAGGGCGCACCTTACTCAGGGGGAGCTCAGGTGGTGGATTTGAACTCACTTAATTTGGCTCATATAAAATAAAATATATTTCACATATAAAGTATAAACATATTGCAATAAAATGCCACCATCTGCTCCAATTGTGATGTCTTCTTGTGTTCATGTTTCTCTGTTTCAGTGAAGTTTATCTGCTGTAGATGCGCTCGTATTGATGCACCTCTCTCTGAGGGATCTGGTCTTGGCTTGGATCACTCCCAGGTCCCACAGCGCCAGGTTCCTGCGATGGTTAGCCTGTTTGTGACCGTACACCTCGATGGCCACCGCCCCCTCAGCCAGAAACTCCACAAAATCTTCCGATACCGGCACAGATAATTCCTGAAGATGACACGAGGCACGTTTTCTGTTAGTGACAACTCACCTGCTGATCACAGCTTTACTCAACCACAGAAAGGCTCCACCTTGGTGCTGTCAAACACTACAGTACACTGAGGGTCTCTGGAGGCGGACGCCGAGCTGGAAGACGCCACCTCTGGAGCGGTGAACACCGGCTCCTCCTGCGCCCAGAAGTGATACTGGCAGAAGACAAAGTTGGACAGGTGGCGAGGAAGCCCGGTGGCCTGGAGGATTTTCACCTAGGA